CAACTTGACCAAAGCTTGTACACAAAGTCACATGACTTGACAATCCATCTGCATATACGGACAAAATAAGGGCATGCTCACTGTAAGGTAAATCAGCGAATTCACTGTTGCCATGTGACTTTCTGAATTGAGAATCCCACATATATCAATAAGAGATGAGTTGTCACTGTGTATCAAATAATCGAGCAAAATATCGAGAAAACCAAAGCATATGCACCAGGTCACATGGCTTCGCAATGACAAGTCTCTCCATGATTTGACTACTTAATGTTTTAAAAAATGAAGCTTATGTAGGCAATGTTGTGTTTCACTTAGCTATGCATCATTCGTTGTTATGACCTACTATTTCTATCAACGGGAAAAGTATAACTATTTGAATTTCTGTTGTCATTTGGAATTATTTTAAAATCAACTTTTGAATATTCGATTTGTAATATTTTGGGAAACATTTACAATCTCAACATTTGAAATCAACTTTAAAAGAATGGTGAATCTTGTGAGTGAAACGTGGGTTACGTAGGAGTACTTGGCCAGCAATGTTTATGAATATCATGGTGCATTCAAATCTGTCCAGAAAAGTGGTGCATTCAAATCTGTCTGGAAAACTGGTGTTACACAGTAATGTCGGAAGTGTTGTTCTCTTTGGGTATAAATTCGAAAATTAACAAAGCAGCGTCATTAGAACTGATAACAATTCTAGATTCTATACTAAGAGAATCGTCAATTTCTTCAAAAATGTGCAGAAAACAATCTGTTTGGGTATAATTAATTCTAAATAGTGATTCATCCCAACCAAATCAAATAAAACCAATTGGGTTTTAAACTTAGTCCCCCAACTGGACCAACCACTTGGGTTTGAGCTTGGTTGTCCAGCCCCCGAAGTTTAGTTTTCTGTCAACCCCCCATTCCTTACCAGAGTCATCATTTGTACTGGACTTACAAGAATTGGAAGGTGACTTTTTCTTCTTTCCTGATGGAGATTGAAATTCTTTACGTAGAGGATCCCTATTTAACAAGGCGCAGTTAAGGAAAGTTTTTCACCGAGCTACCTGTTCTGTTTTATGTGTTTTAATTATTCACATAATTGATCCGCACATTAATCCATTCATTAATCCAGAACATTCATTAACTCATTGCAATTCAATGAAGAAAGTCATGAACTAATAACTGTAAATTACTATAAATGTAGTTATGTCATAAACTTCAGGTTCATAAAACAAATACTTAAAATAGATCCGTACGTAAGATGAACAACAACATTGTCTTACACTCCAATAACGAACATACGACACAACATACATACAAACATATATGAAAGATAACGGTGTTTGATTTCTTATTCCTCATCTGACATGTAGTAGTCAGAGAGATATTTTTCATTGTTTAAGACATTATTTCGCTCAATCACTGTCAAATCTCTGTTGCTTGCTTCTGCCATTTCGGTGGCTAGCTGAAGCATGAAATGTCGACATCTCCGCATCAACATTCTATTGTTCTCCTTCTTAATTCTGCTAACTGCTTTTTCATAGTCACTCACATTTCGTCTAGCCATGGTCAATGAACGACGATGAGGTACCGATGCCCCAAAGTTACGTAGATCATTATACAACCCTTCTTGCTCCGTTACCCTAAACGCCCATTCTGCTCGAATACCAGCATAATAATTCTTCGGACTCGAGTACTTTTCGCTCTTGTAGTCATAGGTAAATGGAGGTGGCAGCCACACTTTCGGATTTCTTTGCCGGTATGAACTTTCTGCACCTCTTGAAGACATTGTTGATAAAATAAAAAATTTAATAATAATAGTAATTGTAGATATATTACTATTGTTATGACTTCAACAAACATCATACTGGGGTATTGATAGACATCATAGTGGGGCTTAACTAGAGATGATCTGGTGACGATAATGCGTGCTAGGGCACTATGGACAAAGTTATACACGTGATAGTATTTTATGTTATTCATTTCATGTAATTTTGAGTACCCGTGACTTTGTGTACCTGTGATGTAGTCACGGACGTGGTTGTCAGATAAAATCATAATTGTAGGCCAGAGAATCAGAATGCAATCCCTTCATATTCGAGCAGTGAGTTGTCAAATAAAACAAAATACAGTGAGTTGTCACATCGCCACATGAAACTATTTTTTCACGCTTACTTTTGTAATACAGTAAGTAGTCACTTGGAATTGACGATTTCAATACGTATAGGTGTTTTTAAAAAATTTTAATTGAAATCTGAAAATGAAACAACGGCTTTAATTTTCTTTGTTTTAAAGTAATATTGTTCATAAACAACTATAAAACAAAATGCAAGTAAATACATAACCGTCCAACTCACTTCGACCTATAAAATGGTCACCTGATATGTAAACACGATTGGAACTTTGCAGCCTATATTTTATCTTATTTTCACTTAATGAACTTCGCAGTCATCCCATTTTCATTGTTATTACACAACCGTCCATCATGTTTTTTTCACCAACATAATAGCATTTTCTGCTTCTTTTCACAGTCGTTTTAATGTGACTTAGATGAATTCAGAAATGTGAGGAAAAAACAAAGCATGTAAGTTGCGCTGCAGAAAGTCACATGCATCACGTAATGTGAGGAAGCATGGCAAAGTCAGAAAGTCACATGCATTACTGCATCACTGCATAAAGTGACATGCATCACTGCATCACTGCACAAAGTCACATGCATCACTGTATCACTACACAAAGTCACATGCATCACTGCATCGCTGCACAAAGTCACATACCTACCTACTGTGCCCATTGGAATTATGCAATTCATACAAATTTTGAGGGGGTGTCAGAACAAAATAACAATAAATTAATAACCATTACAATACACGTAAAAAGTAAAAAAATTTGTTAAAAAATAACAAATTAAGAAATACATAAAAGTAAAAAATATTGTAGAAAAAGTGGTTTGAACAATGGGTAGAAAAATATATTGTAGAAAAATATTGTAATGTGAGGAAAAAATACACTTATTTTGATCATCCCAAACAACCTCTTAATTTTCAACTTCCATTTGAAAGAAGGTAAAGTTACATTTTTACAGTAGCCAGGCTGACACCATCTGCGGCACAACAGCCGATGCTACAGGCCTTTGATTCGTTCATGACTTGACAAAAGTCGAGTCCTGCCAGCCGAATGCACTGTATAAGGTCAGTGGCATGCATGTGATCCAACAGGGAATGCTCATAAATTGGTTGAGACAAAATATTATAATAAATTAAAATATTTTAGTACTTAAAATTATAAGTATATTTCAATGCAATGTTGTAGTCAAAATTCAGGCTGTGTTCAGTTATATTTGTCAATTACATTTTTACCCAATTTTACGGCCGTGGTGTTTGTTTTGCATTTTTAAATTATAATTTCACATTTATTTTTTCAAAAAAATTTCAAGCAGAGAAATTTGACTAATTCAGACGTTTAGTCGGTTGATTAGCTTGCTTGTTTTTATTTTTCAGAAAATATTTTCCAGAAAATTCTACTTTCTTAATTTTCGTGTTTTTCTTTTATTGAATTTTTTTAATATGTTAAGCAATTTTTTTTACTTTTTAGACACACCTAACATAAATACACTTAAAAAGTAAAAAAATTCTAAACAAAATCTTTTAAAAATTCACTAAATACCAAAAATATAAAAAAAAAAATGCGTATGGGGGGCGCAGACATGCTTATATACCTTCTGAGCCCCATATCCACTCCCTGTCATCTCCTGACATGTGGCTCTGCTATCCCATCTGTCAGCATAAACCATGCCATTCATCACCTGCTCTCAACTGCCTGCCAGCACAGCTGGTGCTCGGCAGCCGAGCTGCCCTACCTCGGTCGTACCATGCTTCATACCTTAAGCGCCTAACCGGATAAACAAACGGTGGACCGGGCTAAGCGGCATCCCGGCCGAACCTAGCCTGGATGCTTACTTTGATCGGCCTTCTCGCCGGTCAATCAACTACCTCGGCTAGCCGCGCCTTTCCGAGCGCCGGTCTCTCGGTCTGTCTGGTTTCGACCATCCTCGGACCAAGCATCCTGGTCTGACCGGTCACTTCCCGACCGAGCAACTTCTGCACGGTCCGGGGCGGCACACAGTCCAAACCTTGCCCGGCCCAAGTTCTGGTAGCCCATCTCCGGGTGAACAGTTTATCATCTCGGCCCAATGCACTGCTGAGCCCTCAGCTTGCCCGGTCGATACCCCGGCCCAACACCGGATCGTAAATCACCCTCTCACTATTCATCAAATTTTGGCCTCCAAACAGTTAAAGCGCGATTTGTAATAGTGCTTTAGCTTAATTTGAGAATTCGTTAATGGATGATGCACACCAGTACTACGCGTGGAGCATGGATGTTATGTATGAATCTGATATTGAGATGTCAGATGATGATGATAATGAATGAAATTGTTTGGATGAATGACCAAACCATTTATGTTGTAATGAATTTGATTTCAATTGTTTTTAGGCTTGAACAAACACATTTTTTAGGCATGAACAAACATATTTTTTATTTTATGTTTTTATGGGTTGTTTAAAAATTTTGTTCAAACCATACGCATTTGTAATTTATGTTTTTCTAAAAATAAACAAAAATCAGTTTTTAATTTTTTTGTAAACATAAACCAAAAACGTAAGCGTTACCAAACGCTACCTTATTTATTTTTATTTTAGGGTTTAGGATTTATAATTTAATTCTTCAAATTTATTTAAACTTCAATTTTATAAATGGTTGTCTCAATTTGTAAAATTGAGGAAAAATCGTAAATTACTATAAATAATGCACAGACTACGGATAATGAGAGAGAGGTAGAGATGTGAAAGAGATTTGTGTGATTCATCAATATAAGTAAGAATAAAAAATTGTGAAATTATAATTGTGAGTAAATAAGTATGACACATTTACATCAGCTGTACAAGTTTGATTTACAAAAACTATAACAATTACCAAAAAAAAAAAGAAAAACTATACAGTCCATATCACAACCGCTAATGCCCTAACCTGCCCCCAGTCCCACAACCCCGACCGTGGACCTCCCTCCTCGATCTCCTGTGGTAGACTCTCTGAATATCTGGCACTCCCTCCTCTGCATGTGGCCCTCCAGTGACTGCCTGTGGCGCCTGTGAGTGTGACCCCCCCTCTCCTGCATCTGCTGCCCTTGATCCTGTCTGTGCCTGCAGATCGGATACTGCTGTGAGCTGTGAAACTCCCTCATCTGGTGCAACTGTGTCACGATCTGTAGCTCGACCTCGACCTCTGCCTCTGCCCGCACCCCGACCTCGTCCGCGACGTCCCCCACGACCATAACCTCGGCCTCTCCCTCGCGCTCTGGGGGAGGACTCAATATCGGCCTCATCATCAACGTGGGAGATGTCAGTGAGAACTGCATCATGTGTACTCATGGGCGCAGTCGAAATAGTCCCCAGAAAAGCAGGTGATAACTGGGTGGGTGGGGTAACAACATCATGCATGAACCGGGGCGCGGTCGAAGTACTCCTCAAAAAAACAGGTGGTAACTGGGTGGGTGGGGTAACAACATCATACATGAACCGGGGCGGTGTCTAATCAGGGTCAGGGTCAGGGTCAGCATGCTGGGTAAGATGTACGTGTGGGGAATCTGGAGAAATGTATGGGGTATAATGCGGTGGGGTGACTGAAGTCCAATGACCTGCTGTGGCTGGCGCTGAAGTGGGAGGCACTGATGTGGACGGGACTGATGTGTTTGGAGCAGCTGCTGCACTGTGTAAACCGTAGTCCCCAAAATGCAGACGATCTACCTGATGGGCATGCTGGATCCCCTCGTACAATAACTCTCGGATCTCTGCAAGGGCCTGCAGACCAAGCTGTCCATCACGTCTGAAAAGGGTGTCATCAGCCAAGTGATATGACCTCCCAACTCGAACCACCTAAACAAAAAATCAGATATATTAGGCTATAGTTGACTGAAAACAATCAATTATGATATTAACAATTATCTGACACATACTATGATACTCACCAATGCCTCAAGAGAAGGCCTAACTCCCTGATATCCGACCTCAGACAGGTGGCTCGGATTACCGACAAATAGGTGTGTATGTCGCTGATACCACAACGTGTAAGGGTCGGGAGAGGGGAGGACCCCATCGCTCCACTTAGCCTGCACAATAGTGTCGCGACGGGCATCCCACAACTGTATATATCGTATATGATGCACACTCCAGTCAGTGTTGGCTCGGCTACGTCTATCAGTCGCATGCAACCGCCACTCGGTGTCACACCGATCCGGCACGGACTGGACCCGACCAAACTGTCGGAGGACACGATCAGTGAGATGCCACTCAACCACGTCAAAACAAATGAGTGGCACTCTCGCCATCCATATCTCCTCACCTAGTCGGCAATAGTCTGGGAGCGTATCGAGGACCTCAGCATAAGGCTGCCAGATAAACTACAATAACGACAAGTCTATTAAAAATCGCTCATGAACATATACACTCCATATGACAATTAAAATTTAGGTATTTAAATTTGATACCTCGTCGTCTATCATTCGGTCAAGCTGGTCTCTATACACGACGACTACGTGGGTCGATACGACCTCGTGGCCCATGTCAGCCCTCCATCGACTACCTCGAGGTCCGGCCGGCAACTGCATGTCTCCCTCGCCGATGGGAACCTCACCAAGAGCAACTAGTTGCCGCCTAGATGGCGCAATGCGAATCAATCTCTCCCACGCCCAAATCTGCAATAGTTTGAACGCAATTACAATACTAATATATGCCATACAATATGAATTGACATGTAATAAAATTCTTACTAACCTATAGCAAGACAAGGGGTCCTCCAATCTGATTCGCACGCACTTGAGCTGCTCGACATAGCATCCTATACAAGCATGCCAAAGTCGCGGCGCCCTAGCTGTACTGGCTGATCACGTCAATGTCTCTCAATAGTGGCAAGTACATCAGCTTGAGTAGGTTCTGTGACTTATCAAGGAGAAGTACCCCCCCAATAAGCCACAGAATATATGTTTGGGCATGTTGATGTACTAACTCATCTGGAGCATGATCTGGAAGATGGCCCTGAAACTGCTCGGACAGCCACCTCACCCTCACTCTACCTGCCTGTAAGTCTGCAGGTGTAGGTGCTACTCCCAATAACTCAGCACATAGGGCTATCCACTGCTCCCTCGTCAATGATGGGTCAGGTCCAGTAACTGCTCGCCCATCAATCCGTAGACCGTATAGGACAGATACGTCCTGCAATGTGACGGTGGCCTCACCGGTCGGGAAATGAAATATATGAGTCTCTGTGCGCCACCTCTCGACGAGAGCAGTAATGAGTGGGTGGTCCAGTCTGATATGGCCTATACGATATACACCATAGAATCCCGCACGTAGTAGACACTGCAAGACTCTATGGTCCAATGGATGCTCCCACAGGCCGGAATCTCCCCGCCGGCATGCTACCACGGTGCGTACCTGGTCCTGCATAACAGAATGAGCAGTTTAAATTATAGCATTATCACGTAATATAAAACAAAATGCAGGGTATTTTCATTGTAAGCGTAAAGTCCAACAAACGTTATTGCATACCGGGTCCTCCCATATACTGTCAGCTCGATGTGGATGACTCAAAAGTGGGATCTCATCAGGTAGATGTGCCATAAAGCCTGTACAGTTGAAAAACAAATACATTTTTAAAAACAGTATTGGTGAGCATGTAATTTAACTATAACAATTAAACTCAAATTATTTAGTACATGACGACTTGAAAAAGTATCAAATTTGTGTGGTCGATTATTTTAAAAGTATCAATTTGTGTGCCATTAACATGGAAGCAATTCACTAAAATCTAAAGTTTGCATATTATGTGCCATTAAATATGATAAGCAATTCAATAGAACCTATCGTTATGTACGCTATAACTAATATAGAAATCTTTTACAAAATCATTTTACGGTCTCAGTTACATAAGCTACAATAACGACCAGTAACATGTGGATAGTTTTCGTACATAAATAATTGCGAAAAACAAGAATGAGAATTTTTTTTCCAAACCTTCATTATTGATTTTGGCATATTTGACAAAACTTCATTACATTTATGGCATATTTGACAAAACTTCATTATTGATTTTGTAAGGTTTTTTTTTCCAATAAAGTATAAAATTTGTAAATTACGTACACCTAGTTCAGAAATTGTAAATGTACAAAATGCTTGCATCAGTCAAACTATTAAAATCTTCAAATGGTAGAAGAACTATGTGATTTTAACTAAAATTTTGTAATAGACATTTTCAATCAAGTAGAGAATAAAAAACATAGGCCTATGTGGTATAGTTAAATAGTTTTGCATTGTTATTTAGTTTAATTTATTTGTTTAGTATGTTAGTTGTAAATTTTGTCAAGGAAATCAAACAATTACAATATATAAAGAATTACAAAATAGAAATGATCTATTACAAATAAAAAATTATCTATTTAAATGTACGACCCCGTTTACAAATAATGAATTACAAAAGAAAATAAAATTATCTATTACAAATAAAGAATTAAGAAATGATCTATTACAATATGTAAGTAATACATAGTCTTCATCGACCAACTCGTGCCGGACATGTTCGCCTGTCATGACCTGTCTGCTGGCACTCACTGTAACGAGCGGTCAAACGCCTATCTGATATGTCCATCTCATTCGGAATACGAGACATAGATGCACGACCCCGTTTTACTTCTCGCAGACGCAGTACATTAGGCATTAAGGTCCACTGCGGATCAGCCCAATAATCTTGATGCGGTATTGGATTGAATTTAGTTTCCCAAACCCTCATGTATACAGGAAGCCTATATACTAGATCAACGTACTCGAATGGATTGTCACCGCATTCAGACATTACATCGAGCATATGAGAACATGGATAGTGTCGTATCTCATATTTCCCACAACTGCATGTGGGTTGATTCATCCGCACAATTTGTGTATTGCGACCTCGTCCATGGCGAAAAGATGTTTGCACCTCAAACACGCTGCGTGGCCTATCAGAAAATTGTAATAGAAATTAATCAAGTTCATGTTTTTAGGTGTACTTAACTTGACAACATAATAACAACAATTTAGTTTATATTACAAACTAACCTGTCATATGATATCAACCTAAAAGTATTTGCCCTTGCGATGCCATCCTCAATAGTTTTTTGCATATCTCTAGGGTATTGAAACTCATTTCGTACATCTATTTCAGCTTGGGCTCCCATCTCGTCAAAATATTTTACGAGCCGCCGAAATGTAAATTCAACCATAGCTAAGATAGGTAAGTTCCTTGCACCTTTCAAGACGCTATTGAAGCACTCTGCATCATTGCTAGTCAATACCCCCCAGCGATGTCCACCGTCATACGAAAGATTCATCTTGTAAAGATTCATCTTGTAAACCCAAGTGATGGCTTCTTGGTCAATAGCCTGTATTTGTTGTAAGTAACCATTACACTTCCATCGTTGATCAGCACTCCCTGCTTTCCACAGAAGTTGTTTGAGCTCCTTATTTTTGAACTTAGTGTTGAAGTTACTACAAACATGTCGAAGGCAGTGCCGATGATATCCAACAAATTGGAGCGAGGGATTCAGCCAATGCCGCCTCACAGCAGCTAAAATACTCTCAGCTCGATCAGATATCAAAGTCACTCCCTGTCAGTCCATGACAATATGTTCCCTGATATTTGAAATGAAGAACGACCAAGACTCCAAACTCTCCAT